GTGTTTTAATCGATTAAAATAGTTCTGATCGCTCATATTTAAGATCTGATCGATTATAATGCATTCTGACCTATTATATTCCAATTCTAATCGGTCATAATGATTTCTAAAGGGTTTTAATCGATTAAAAGAAGTTTGTATCGATTAAAATACTGTAAAAACAATTCTTTACGCATTCTTAGTGATTTTAATCGTTTCTTAAAAAACTATATCAGTTAAAACTATTGTTAAGAAGGTTCTTTGTCAAAATGCTTTTGTTTGATTTGTTTAAAACTATTTTTGAGGCATTTTGCAAATTGAGTGAAGAAGCTTTATGCAGTGGAAAAGGTAAAGTGGTTTTACCTAAGCTTTCTGTTTAGACACACTAAGTCTTCAGCTCCATTCTTCTGAGTGACTTGTTTGACTGCTGCAGAGTTGACCCTTGACTTTATCTTTGACTTCATCAAATCAATGAGATCTTTGCTAGGATCACTTTCATTATATTCATTTGAAATTACTTGTAATAACTATGTTGTATCATTTTGAGTATGTAAAAATAGAGTCCATGATAGCTAGTACATAGTTTGTCCATTGAAAGTTCGCTTTTATCTAAAACTCACAGTGATAATCGATTATCACCTGTGGATAATCGATTATCAGTAATCAATTATCACTTGTGATAATTGATTATACTAGCTCTCCTGGGTCTCTGAAAGTCTTTGGAATAATTGATTATCACTGTTGATAATCGATTATCCTGTCAAAATTATGTCTTCTGCGAAAATGACTCTATGATAATCGATTATCACTCATGATAATCGAATATCTGTGTCAGTTATGATTTTGAATTTTGAATTTTAAATTTCAGACCTATTTTCGAAAACCCTAATTTCTAAACCCTAAAATATATATTTAAGGATCTCTCAGGCTCTCTGTAATTGACAACCTTTTTCATACTAAATTTATAGTTGTGATTGCTGAGAGAACTTTGAGTAGGGAAGAAAAAGGGGCTTTTGTAACCTAATGTGGGCTAGAAGTGATAAGAATCACTAAGTGGGTTTCTTGGTGGATTGTGTGTTGTGCCGTCTCTAGGAAAAGTTGTCTTCATCCTTTGTGGATTCAAAGGAGGTGTTCATTTCTTGTGTGACTCAAAAGAGGTGTTTTCTAATCCTTATTACTTGTAATTTGAAATATGTTGAACTATTGTTTTAGTGACTGAGTTAATCCTCTTTTAGAGTGATTAACAACTGGACGTAGGGTCTTTTGATCCGAACCAGTATATATTACTTGTGTAATCTTATTCCCTTATCTTTTTACATTTCATGTGCCTTATTATATTATTGTTTAATTGGTAACACTTACAAAAAGTTTTTAAAAGGGAAAGTTTTTATAAGAAACCAATTCACCCCCCCTCTTGGTTTTTTTTCCCAAACGCAAACATTCTGCTGCGCGATACCAATTTATCCTTGACCTATAAATCAAACTGCTGAAGAAGCAACATCCATCTAATTAATCTCGACTTCGTGTCCGACTTCTTCAAGAGGAACTTGATTGTTGCATGATTTGTGTACAACACAATCTTGAACCGAGTAGGTATGACATAAATTTATCCAATGTAAAAACTATGGCCAATACCTCCTCTTGATAGTAGTGTAATTGGCTTGGGCTTGATCCAATGTTTTTGACGCATATGCCACTACATAGGAATCTACACAGGAAACCCAATTTACATCGTTGAACCCTTGGATTTGAGTTGTTGATTCCCTACTAAAAAATAAACCTTTACCAAGACAACTCTTTAGGTATCACAATACTATGGTGGTAGCCTTAAAATGGACTTAAGGGGGTCTTGACATAAACTGAATCAATTATTGGGTAGTATAGACAATGTCTGGACACGTATTAGTACGATAAATTAAATGACCCATCAAACGTCTATAAGAAATAGGGTCTAAAAGCTCTTCTCTAGAAGTTTGACTAAGACGAAGAGAACTATCCATAGGTGTAAACATTGATTTTGAACCTAATAAATCATAATCAGAATCATGCAATAATTCAAGATAATATTTTCTTTGACACAATGAGATACCTTCGGATGAGTGAGCTACCTCCAACCTTAGAAAGTACTTTAATACCCTAAGATCTTTGATTGAAAAGTGTGAATGAAGAATATGTATAATATTTGAATTTTCTTCAATGTCATTTCCAGTAAGTATAATGTCATTGACATACATTAATAAGGTTGTTAAATTTCTTCCCCATGCCTTGGTAAAGAGACTATGATCTAAGTGAGCTAGACAATATCCATAAGATAAGAGCATTATTGATAATTTCTCATACCATGAACAACTTGCTTGTTTTAATCCATATATAGACTTCAGAAGTTTGCAACATTAAGAAGGTTTAATATTGTCAATACCAGGAGAAGGAGTCATGTACACCTCTTTGTTCAAATCTCCATGAAGAAACACATTACTTACATTCAATTGATGAAGACAACATGATTTAACAAAAGCCACAACAAGAATGATTCTTATCATCTTAACCACTGGTGAAAAAGTTTCAAGATAATCAATCCTCAATGTTTGAGCATATCCTTTTGCAACCAATCGAGTTTTATACCATTCCATGCTCCCACCAGGATTCCTCTCAATTTTGTAAACTCATTTGCATCCAATGGGACAAATGTTTGCGAGTGTATCGATAATATTCTAGGTTTTGTTTGGTTTGAGCACCTCTATCTCATATTGCATTGCCTCATGCCAACATTCATGCTGGAAAGCCTCTTGATAACTCACTGGCTCAAATTTAGATGACAAAGCCATTAGATAATGATGATGTGAGGAAGAAACATGAGACAAAGACATAAAACACCTGAGAGGATACACAAATTTTGCTGACGATTGGGTAAAGAAATTACATAATAGTTAGAGAGGTGAAGAGGTGGCTTATGTGTCCAAGTTGAACGACCCAATGATGATTGAGGTTAAGGAAGATTATCATATGAGGTAGATGAGGACATGTCAAAGATTGATTCATTGGTAGGTTGGACAAATGAGTATTGAGGAATAGGCTCACTAGGATGTAGTTGAGGTATTGTAAGTGACTATTCAGTGGGGTCACTAATTGAGATTGATTCATTGATAGGTTGGACAGATGAATGTTGAGGAATAGGTTCACTAGGATGTAACTAAGGTGGTGTACTAGGAAAATCTTCAGTTTGAATATTTGGAAAATGACTTTCTATATGGTGTACTTTATCTTGAAAACGCAAATTAGATTCATAAAAAATCACATTTATAGAAATAAAAATCTCTTTTGTATCTAAGTTTAGAACTATGTAACCCTTAGTGCCATTATGAAAACCTAAGAAAACCCCATGTCTACATTGTGGATCAAATTCATGATGATTTGCAATATTTATTGATGCATAAATTAAACAACCAAAAACCTTAGTTCTTGAAACTTTGATACTTGATTATGTAAAAGTTTAACGGGACTTTTGTTCCAATTGATTGGTGATGGAACCCAATTAATTAAGTAAACAATATGTTTAATGACGTATGACAATAAGTTATTATTATGGTCCATTATCAGACTGAATATTTTTAACCTTTGGTTCAAACCTATTTTCAACAAGATGTATAAAATTATTCACATGCGACTTGACTTCTCCCTTTGATTTTAACAAAACAATCAATGTGTAATGACTATAATAATAAATAATGGTTAGAAATTATTATTGGATAATCCAAGTGTGAGTCTATGTCCCACATTGAGTTAAAAAGAGAAAGTTGAGTAACTTATAAGGAAGAAACACCCATAAGCTAAAGCCTTAAGGTTTTGGGTTAAAGGTGGTGTTAATCCCTTATGTTAGTTGGATTCACATCTCATTGGTGTTGTTTCTCCTTGGTGAATCCCCCTCAAAAGGCCCAACAGTGGTATTAGAGTCAATGATTTATGTGGTGACCAACATTTCAAGAGTGATCCTTGTATCGAAAGACTTCTTGACAATGGGTTAAGTAAGTGTGTCCCATTATGATGAACGATGGTACATTGAGGGGGAGATTGTTGGGTAACCCAATGTGAATCTAAGTCCCATATTGAGTAAGAATGAGAAAGTTAAGCCACACATAAAGAAAAAAGACCAATAACCTAATACCTTAAGGTTTTGGGTTGAAGGTGGTGTCAATCCTTATGTGAATTGGGCTCATGTGTCTCATTGGTGTTGTCTCTTTCCGATGAATCCCCCTCAAAAGATCTAACAATTATTTGTAACCATGTATGGAAGCTTTAGAAAAGGATCCCAAAATATCCATATGAATAAACTCAAAAATTTTAGACACTCTAATGATACATGATGAATAAGACAACCTTCTTTGTCTAGCTAAATGACAAACATCATAAGCTTCTTTGATAAACTTAGAAATAAAAGGAAATTATTGGTGTAAAACATTAAATCTATTTTTGGACAAGTGACTTAATAAATAATGTCAAATGTTTGAGGTAGTGATAGTAGAGAATGTGTTATTCATAAGGCAAGTCTTAGGTTTTGGAGACGAGGTATCTTTGTTAATGCTGGTAAAGGTCTCTAGCTTACCAAACCGATAGTCTTCAATGAGTTCATATCCTGAATTTTTCAAGAATCATAAAAAGGAGAGTGTAATGTAAGCTGAAAATTAATTTAGAAATAGAAAGAAGGTTAAAATTAAAATGCGGTAAATAAATGATATCATGAATAATAAAATTTGTAGAAAAATGAATAGTTCCTGAAACACAAGAAGTAACAAAATTTCCATTAGGCATTTTGATGTGAATGGATTTATTTTAAAATGAGATTGGAAATTATCTAAAGATTTAGTTATATGATTAGTGGCTCTTGAATCAATTATTCAAGTAAAACTACTGTTACTAAAATTTGGACTCAGAAGAGTGTTTGGGCCAATTTTTGAAATATGAGAAACATTAACATGGCTTGTGTGAGATTTTTCATCTGGGTCTGAGCTTCTTTAGTTACCAGGCTAATCAATGAGGGTAATTAACATTTGATGTTGGGTTGGAATCAAATCAAAACCTATCTTAGTGTTATTTACCATAACAGAGGCTCGATTATGTATGTCAGGCCTCCCAAAGTACCCTAGATGATTAGGAGGAACCTATGTTTTGCATAACACTCATTGATAGTGTTCCCATAACAACCATAATAGGAGTATTTTTGTTGTTTTTTCTAGCATCAAATGATGAGTTAGACCATGTGTGATAGTTATTTCCAGTGAGAACTAGTGTTTTTACAACAATTAAGGACAGACTTTCACTTGGGTGAATGTAATAGGGACTTGATGACTTTTGATCTAGGGTGACAACACTATTTTTAGACATGGTGAGATGAAAGTATCACTCGAAATGGAGCTCTAATATCATAACAAAAGACTGAATTGTTTGGGTTAAAAGATAAATCTAAGCTTGAAAAAAAAAATAGAACAATAATGAAATAAAATATCTCAAATGTTATATTATAAAGCTTCGTATTTTAGGGTTACAATAATGTTATCATATATATATATATATATATATATATATATATATATATATATATAAATAAGATCATTAAAAAACTATTGAATCTAATTTCTAAAAAAAATTAACTTTATCATTCGGACAATATATGAACCAATATGCAATTGTCATTATTTCTTTTAATAATTATTAATAAGTTTATAAAATATTAAAATAATAAAAATTAATTAATTATTAAATTGTTATTAAAATATTTTACATAGTCATAGTTTACCCTGCACTTCTATATTTACTCTAGAAAAATAATATTACTTAATGTTTATATTTTAGAGTTTCTTATCAATCTCATAGAGGTGCATTAAATTTTTTTACAAATAGATGGATAAAGAAGGTTGGGAGTGATAACAAAGAATTTCAGAAAAATTGATTTTTATTGATTATTTGTCATACCTTAATAAGGAATACAATGGTGTATTTATATACTTCCACAAAAATCCTAATCTTATCTTAGAAAATAAAAACTCCCAAAAATCAAATAATAACTACCCAAGATATCAATAATATCAAAATGTCCCAACAAACTCCTAATAATCTTTTTTATTTAATGTTATCCCAATAAACTCTTAAACTAATTATTTTTTTAATTTAACTTTATCCAACAAAACTCCTTCGTAAAATTAAAACTCCCTTAGATAAAAATTGAGATCGGCACTACCGATCTTCCAACCTCCCATCTTACTTAGCTTCAAAACTTCTCGAGTTTCAAAACATCCCGAGCTTCAAACTTTTCGAGCTCTCAACTAGCCGACTTGTCAATTTGTCAAACATTTGGGTTCTCGAGCACCCGTGTTCCTTCCATCCTTCATCCCGATCAGTCTCTTGTAGTTTTTGAATAACACAATAGGCATTGGTTTCGTGAACATATCAACAACTTGATCTTAACTTGTCACATGTACGAGCTCCACATTACCTTCCTTAACATGTTCTTAGATGAAGTGAAAACACACATCAATGTGATTATTCCTCTCATGATTGATCGAATTCTTCACCAATGTCCAATTTGTTATCAAATCGGATCATCATTGCACTGAGTTGTTTCTTCTCGCCTAGTAGATTTTTATCTCTTTTCTCTTGACTGAGCTTGGTCAAATTCCAACCTAAAAGTTTCTCATCTTTCTTGAACACTTGCTTCACACCAACAACCTGGTCATAGCTCGACAATTTGGTCATCATCAATGTGTCATTGCGTTCTACAACTTGGATCTTCTCATCCATAACAACTTGAATCTTCTCTTCAATATCAGCTCAGATCTTTTCTTTAATAACAACTCAAACCTTCTCGTCTACAACAGCTCGGACATGGTCACTTTAGAATCCACTACTTGGACTTCACTCAAATTTTTCTATGTACTCGACATTTTTCTGAAGTTTGGCCCTTGCCACACCTTCACAAACTCTCACCTCTATGCTCGAAAATCTAAGCACCATGCTCTTCATGTTCTTCTTCAACTTCACTAATATTGTTGTTTCTTCCTCCTCGGTTTTCAAACTGGCTACTAGTGGTGGTGTAGCAACTCGGTCTCCTCTATCATCCTCCATTCTCCCCAGTTTCACTCACTCGTTTCATCAATTCGGACGTCTAGATCAACATCATGATTATCATCATGAATTAACTCGGTTAGACCACAAAAGTTCATGTGACCAGATTGATGATTTTTCTTCCACGTGTCCTTTACATTTAATTTCAGACTCCTCCTCTCCCGAATGCTTCTCAGCTGCAACTTGTACATTTTATTCTTTCCTATCTCTACTCGGACAATTAATCTTTTGAGCTTGTCCTTCAATTTTAGTATTTAGTCTTTCATGAATACCAAGTATCCCCTCTCCATCAGTTGTCCTAAACTCAAAAGATTACTCTTGAGATATGGAAATGGAACACATATCGGATTGACCCGACTGGGCCATTATTCTACAAGAAAAAAATAGTACCCTAGCCTTTTACTGAGACTTTCGAATCATCTCCAAAAGACACATGATCACCCTTAAATTTCTCAAATTTGCTAAATAGGTGTTCGTCCCCACATATATGGTTGCTTGCACTAGTGTTTAAATACCACACCGAATCTTCTGAGTTGTAATATGATCTCTTAAGTATTGTTAAGTTATGTTTGGCATTTTTGTTAGTTGTCGAGTTGTGGTCGACCATCAACAATATTGCTTATTCTATTTTTGTATCCTCTACGAGATAGCTCTCTTCCATCTTTTGACATTCTTTCGCAAAGTGTCAAATCTCACCACAATTGTAACATTTGTCTGAGTAACGATCCTTTGCATAATGACCATGTTTGCCACACTTGAAGCACTCAACATTATAATGACTCATCGAATGACCTCCTCTCCAACCACGTCCACTACCTTGCTAGTTTTGCTATTTTCTTCTTTCGTCTTGCCACCTCGGCCTTGACTACCACATCCTCGTCCTCTATCACTTGAGAATATAGAGCTTGCTCCTTCAATGCCTTGAGAGTTAAGGTCGTCTATCCTTTTGTGATTTTTGGTTCTTCAAAATATTCTTCTACTACTTTCGAACAATCTTAGACTTTGAGGAGAGTCTTCATCTGGACACTCTATCTATTATAGTTGACGTTCTTCGTCAATTGGGGCACAACTACAACATTAGTTAGACCAACCATTCTCACTCTTCAACTTTTTCTGACGCTCAAAAACTCAAAGTCTAGCTCTCCTAAAAAATCCTAGCTTTTCTTAAAAAAACTCAAGTTCTTGATACCAATTTGATAATAAAGAATTTTGAAAAACTAACTTATTATTTGTCATATCTCAATAAGAAATACAATAGTGTATTTATATACTCCGACAAACTCTAATCTTATCTTAAAAAATAAAAAACTCCCAAATCAAATACTAACCACCCAAGATATTAATAATATCAAAATGTTACAACAAACTCATAATTATCTTTTTTATTTAATTTTATCCCAATAAATTTATAAACTAATTATCTTTTTATTAATTTTTTAATTTAATTTTACCCAACAGGATAGCAAAATCGGTAGTCGTATTTTCATCCTTGTTCAAGGGAAGAAAATTCTGAGGCTTAAGATCTCTATGAATGACACTATGGAATGACACGTGTGGACAATATGCACTGCAACACATCCAGGGTAATGTCCCTTGGCAATGATGCGATCAAGGAGCTTATCCCTAGCACACAACTCCATCACCCCAGCAATGCCTCCCCAAGTCGTTGGAGCATAGGCAACCATAGCCACTCACTACCATTTTGTAGTAGCATTACAAATAAAACCAAATTATCGCGAGAGAAGGGATGATGTTATGGACCATGATGCAGGTGAGGAGGAACCAGAACCAAACGTGTTACGAGAGCCCAACCCAAATGATTTGGAGGACACAATTGGAAAAGCCAAGCCGAGAAAAAATCCTTCTAGAAACCGTCACGCACCTCAGAAATTCAACGAATACAAAATGAATTGATTATGTTATGATTTACTTTATTCTTTTGAGATTTATTTGTTTTCTGTTTTAGGAATTACCCAATTTTGTCTTTTCTTCTCTGCCCATATATATATATATATATATATATATATATATATATATATATATATCCTTTTCATTATCAATAAAAGCAGGAGAATATTTTGTAATCACTCGTGTGGAGGTTTCTTCCCCTTCCCTCGACGTAAGGTGGAGTTTTTTCTATTGAATTCCATAAAAGACGTATCATCTGGTGCTTTCGTTGAGAGTAACCATGACTCGCTCTTCTGTTTCTTCCAGTGATCCTCAAATTTCAAAATTGATTGAAAATCATCTTACCTTGCAATGAGAATACTAGCGCTTGGAGGACAGATTCGCCCTCTTGGAAAGCAAACTAGAAAATCTGGGGTCATCTTCTTCCACACACGAAACCAAACACTATATGAAACTGGAGATACCTCGCTTTGATGGGAACGATCCTTTAGGGTGGATTTTCAAGATCACTCAGTATTTTGAGTATCACCAAACACCAATAGTGGAAAGAACACACATTGCTAGCTTTACATGGAGGGGGAAGCTCTTAATTGGTATCAATGGATGACAGCAAATAATCAAATCAAGGATTGGGATGCGCTGCTTAAGGCGATCCAATCTCTCTTTGCACCATCACGATTTGAGGATCCTGCTGGTGCGTTGTTTAAACTGACGCAAACTTCTTCGATTCATGAGTACCAACAACAGTTCGAGGCTCTTGCAAATCGAATCCTCGATCTCCCAGCTAGTTTCTATCTTAGATGTTTCATTTCTGGGCTTCAACCTGAATTACAACATGAAGTACGCTCTCGCCAACCGACCACACTCATTGATGCTATTGATTTGGCTAAGATTTATGAGGCCAACTTCGAAGACACCCAACCAAAACTCAAATCCCAAACACAGTCCAAGCCTTACAAATCCTACACCTCAGCCTCCATCCTTAACACACCACAAAAAACCATCTAAAACCAAAACGTAAACGCTTTCTCCCAAACTCACACAACAAACTTTGCTACTACCAATCGTTCCCTGATAATCAAGAACATGACCGCCGAAGAACTTCAAGCCAGACGTGAAAAAGGCTTGTGCTATTACTACGATGATAATTATGTTCGGGGTCACCGTTGAAAACGTCAGTACATGGTTCTGCTAGCTCCAGAACCTCTATCAAGGATTGACGAGGAGTTTCAAGAGTTATTATCTGACTTGAATCCACCCATAACTGAACCTGAAACCCAACCCGATTCTTCCCCAGCCCAGATTAGTCTCCACGCCCTAATGGGCCATTCGGTTTACCAAACTCTACGCGTATTGGGCCGAATTGGCAAGGCCCAATTGTCAATTTTGATTGACAGTGGAAGTACACATAATTTCTTACAGGAACAACTGGTGATGTTTTTGAATCTCAACGCTACCCCAGCCTAAGGTTTCTCTGTTCAAGTGGGTAATGGGGAGGAGTTACAATGCTCCAAGTTGTGTAAAGAGGTACAAATCCACATTGGACCCCACTTGTTCATCGAAGATCTCTTTGTCTTGCCTATAACGGGCGCATATTTAGTTTTGGGGGTGCAGTGGCTGCAAAGTTTGGGTCCAATACTTACTGATTTTGATAAGTTAATTATGAGGTTCAAAAAAGAAGGTTAGATAGTGGAACTCCAGGGAATTCCAAGGACTAAATTCCATGAAATTTCATCCCAACAACTTAAACAACTTCAAACCACTGATTCAATCAGTGAATATTATCATATTCAGGCTAAACCTCTATCTCTTGATGATGGCAAAGCCAAGTCTTTTCTCCCAGAAATTGAGGCCCTCCTTCAATGCTATTCCGCTATTTTTGAAGTTCCACAGAATCTTCCTCCCCCACGTACTACTGATCACAAAATTCTACTATTGAAAGGAACTAATCCTGTCAATGTGCGACCGTATCGATACCCACAGTTTCAGAAGCAGAAGATTGAGAAACAGGCCGAAGAGATGTTACATTCGTGTGTCATCCAAAAGAGTTTGAGCCCTTTCGCTTCCCCAGCACTGCTTGTGCGTAAGAAAGACGGGGCATGGCAGTCTTGTGTGGATTATCGCGCGTCGAATGCAGTCATGAACAAGGACTGTTTTCCAATCCCCACAGTGGATGAACTTCTCAATGAATTGTTTGGTGCTAAGTGGTTTTCTAAGCTTGATCTTCGTTCTGGTTATCATCAGATCCGAATGTTTCCAGGGGAGTCTTACAAAAATGCTTTTCGAACTCATGAAGGCCACTATGAGTTTACTATCATGCCATTTGGGTTATGCAATGCTCCTTCAACCTTTCAGAGCATTATGCATGAGTTGTTTCGCCCTCACCTTCGTAAATTTCTTATTATTTTCTTTGACGATATCTTAGTTTACAGTAAGAGTTTATAGGAACACATGAATCATTTGCAACTTTTTTTCAATGCTTGTTGGATAACCAATTTTTTTTGAAAATATCCAAGTGTGTTTTTGCACAAAACAATGTTGTCTATCTAGGCCATATCATTACTGAAGAGGGTGTGGAACCAGAAAATGACAAGATTCAGGCAGTGAAAGAATGGCCAGTTCCTCATTGTGTGAAACAACTACGAGGGTTCCTTGGTTTGATGGGGTACTATCGTCGCTTTATAAAAGGATATGCTGCCATTGTCGCACCTTTGACTGATTTGTTGAAGAAGGACGCTTTTCATTGGACTCTAGTTGAACAACAAGCATTTGATGAATTGAAGAAAGCTATGACTGAAGCTCCTGTTCTTGCCCTGACTAACTTTGAGATCCCTTTCCAATTAGAAACTGATGCGTCTGGAAGGGGCATGGGTGTTGTACTTATTCAGCAAGGCCACCCAATTTGTTTTCACAATAAGAAATTTTGTGACAAGATGCGAAATGCTTCTACTTATGTTATGGAATTACACGCCATTGTTGAAGCTGTTAAAAAATGGCGACATTATTTACTGGGGCGCATGCTTATCATTTTTACAGAACAAAAAAGCTTGAAAGAACTAATGACACAGGTGATTCAAACTCTGGAACAGTAACAATATTTGTGCAAACTATTAGGGTTTGATTATGAAATTAAATACAAACCTAGTTCCTCTAATTGTACTGCTGATGCTTTGTCTCATCAATTTGATGAAGGCTCCTTTGATACTCTTATTGTTCCTCATTATGAGTTTATTCACAAACTCAAGAATTCTTATGATTCTGATGCCCAACTAAAACAATTATACTCGGATGTTTTTGCTAACCCCACTTCTCATGAAGGGTTCTCCATTGTAGAGGGTCTGCTATTGTATAAAGGAAAAATATATATTTGTGATGACACTACATTTAAGTCTCTGTTGCTTGAAGAGTACCATAGCAGTCCTTTGGGAGGTCACTTTGGATTTCAAAAAACATTTCAGAGGCTTCATGAGAACTTTCATTGGTCAGGAATAAAGAAAGAGGTTGCGGCTCAGGTGAAATCTTGCATTACTTGTCAAGAAATGAAGAATCCAAATCATGTTCCTTATGGTCTTTTGAAACCCATTCCCATTCCTACTGGGGTATGGGAAGACATTGCTCTTGATTTTATTGTTGGATTGCCACCTTATAAAGGCCATGCTACTATTTTAGTAATTGTTGATAGGTTCTCCAAAGCTGGGCATTTTGGTACGCTTCTCCCAATTATAATGCTTTCATGGTCGCTGACTTATTTGCTAATATGGTTTGTAAATTGCATGGAATTCTGAAAAGCATTATCTCAGATAGGGATGCCATTTTTATGAGTGGCTTTTGGCAAGAATTGTTTCGTCTCAGTGGCACTAAGCTAAAGATGTCAACGGATTACCATCCCCAAAGTGATGGCCAAACATAAATTCTCAAAAAAGTGCTTCAACAATATCTAAGATCCTTTGCTCATTGCAAACCAAACTCATGGGGCAAGTTTCTTTTATGGGAAGAATGGTGTTACAATACCTCTATTCATTCATCCATAGGGCTTTCTCCTTTTGAAGTTATGTATGGCAAACCTCCCCCTACCATTCCTAGTTACTGCTTGGGAAATTCCAAACTCGAAGCTTTTGATGCTGAATTAGCATGCCGTGATGAAATTCTGAACAAACTAAGGGTAAAGTTGTTGAAGGCCCAAGATGTGATGAAGCATGCAGCTGATAAGAAGCGTGCCCCTGCTCCGTTCAAACTTGGTGATCACGTGATGGTCAAAATTCGTCCTCATCGACAACAATCGTTATCAGGACCACGGGTTCATAAACTTTCCAAGCGTTATTATGGGCCCTTTGAAATCATAAAGTGTATTGGAGAGGTAGCATTCCACTTGGCTCTACCACCTCATGCTAAACTTCACCCCGTTTTTCATGCTTCGTTGTTGAAACCTTTCACTAGCACAACTACTTTATCATTACCTCCTGTTACCACTACTACTCAACCTATTGTTCAACCCTTGGCCATCTTAGCAGTGGATAACAATTCCCCACAGCGTGTGTTAGTGCAGTGGGAAGGTCTCTTTCCAGAGGATGCTACATGGGAAGAATTAAAGGAGCTTCAATCTGCTTATCCTGAGTTACACCTTGAGGACAAGGTGTTTGTGCAGGGGAAAAAATGTTATGGACCATGATGCAGGTGAGGAGGAACCAGAACCAAACATGTTACGAGAGCCCAACCCAAATGATTTGGAGGACACAATTGGAAAAGCCAAGTCGAGAAGAAATCCTTCTAGAAACCG